CGCGTCGCAGGAGGGACCGGGATGGGGGAATGGGGGACGACCGCGATGGAGAACGGGGTTCCAGGAGGGACCGCGATGGAGGACGGGGGACCGCGATGGGCAGCGGCGTCCCAGGAGGGACCGCGGTGGAGGACGGGGGACCGCGATGGCACCAGGATGGAGAAATGGGGTCTCCGGAGGGACAGGGATGGAGAGAAGGGGACCGGGATGGAGAGCTGTGTCCCAGGAGGGACCACGATGGAGAAGGGAATTATGATGGAGAACAGGGGACTGTGATGGAGAACGGTGTCCTAGGAGGGACCGGGATGGAGAAGAGGGGACCAGGATGGAGCCTGGTGGCCCAGGAGGAACGGTGATGGAGAACGGTGTCCCAGGAAGAGCCACGATGGAGAAAGGAGGACCACGATGGCACCAGGATGGAGAAATGGGGTCTCGGGAGGGACCGTGAGGGAGAACGGTGTCCTAGGAAGAACTTTGATGGAGAATGGGGAACCGCGGTGGAGGATGGGGGACCGGGATGGACAGTGGGGTCCCAGGAGGGACCGGGATGGAGAGAAGGGGACAGGGATGGAGAGCCATGTCCCAGGAGGGACCACGATGGAGAAGAGGGGACCAGGATGGATGATGCTGTCCCTGGAGGGACCGTGAGGGAGAGCTGTGTCCTAGGAGGGACCGGGATGGAGCACGGTGTCCCAGGAGGGACTGTGATGAAGAAGAGGGGACTGCGATGGACAACGGTGTCCCACAGGGGACCGTGATGGAGAACGGTGTCCTAGGAGGGACCGGGATGGAGAAGAGGGGACCAGGATGGAGCCTGGTGGCCCAGGAGGAACGGTGATGGAGAACGGTGTCCCAGGAAGAGCCACGATGGAGAAGAGGGGACCACCATAGAGAACGGAGGACCGCGATGGCACCAGGATGGAGAAATGGGGTCCCAGGAGGGACCGGGATGGAGAGAAGGGGACTGGGATGGAGAACAGTGTCCCAGGAGGGACCACGATGGAGAAGAGGGGATCATGATGGCACCATGATGGAGAAATGGGGTCTGAGGAGGGACCACGATGGAGAGAAGGGGACGGCGATGGAGAACGGTGTCCTAGGAAGAACTGCGATGGAGAACGGGGGACCGCGATGGAGAAGGGCGTCCCAGGAGGGACCGCGGTGGAGAAGAGGGGACTGCGATGGAGAACGGTGTCCCGTGACGGAGCCTGGTGTCCCAAAAGGGACCACGATGGAGGACGGGGGACCACGATGGAGGACGGTGTCCCAGGAGGTGCCACGATGGAGGACGGCGTCCCGTGACGGAGCCTGGTGTCCCAGGAGGGACGGGGATGGAGACAAGGGAACCGGGATGGAGACAAGGGACCAGGCTGGAGCGCGGTGGCCCGGGCCACCTTCACCCGAGGGGTGTGGGCCCCTGCCGTGATGGTGGCCACCGTGGCCGTGCCGGTGGCCGCCGTGGCCTCATCCCTTGCCCGCGGCGGGGCCGACGCGGCGCGGCCGGACTCACTTCTCCCTCTCCCTGGCGTTCTTGTAGAGCTTCACCTCCTGCCGGGGACAAGGGGGGAGACGGGGGCGGCTCAGCCCCGGGGCCGGGTGGCTCAGCACCGGGGCCGGGGTGGCTCAGCACCGGGGCCGGGGTGGCTCAGCACCGGGGCCCGGCCCGGGCCCTGCCCGGGGCCTGGGGG